ACTTAACAAAACCTAGTCTCCTATTTCCATTGTGTGCTGTTTCTTTCTCTCTCTCCCCACCCTTCCTCCCTCCCTCCCTCCCTCTCCCTCTTCCTTCCTTCCTTCCCTTTTTCTTTCTCTTCTTTCTTAATTCGTCTAAAGATGATCTAAATCTAAAGAAAACAAATTGAGATTCTGATACATACATATATACACACAGAAAGTGAACACAAAGATAGATGATAGCTGCAAATAGCACATTTTGGTCTCAGCGAATACTTCATTTACTTAATAAACATATTTCTTTCTATGCCAGTGTATACATTCGACAATATTGGTATAGATAGGCCACACAGATAAACAGCTGATCTTTAGCCCTGTTGAGAGATGTGCCAAATATGCAAGAAGATTCAAAATTAAATTAGGGAAGATGTAACCCCAAATTGCTAGTTGAGGAAAAGTAGTAACGCGAACATGTGAGCAGGACGCCAGGCATTGCTGAGCCGTGTGCTGCTCCTGACAGTCCCCGGACACGCTTTAGTTTGTTTCTGCCACATCTCTGTCGTGGATTCTGTGACTGCTCACTTAGGCAACTCTGGCCTTCTTGTAGCCAAGACTCAGCCTTTACATTTCCTGCTGCATTTGAGTTTGGGGAATGCTTGACAGCAAGTGGCAGAACGATTGTTTCAGAGGCTGTTAGGCCGAAGCAGATAATGAAACCTCCCTGCGCTGGTGTGGCCAGAGTTTTTACGGGCCCAAATTAGGTTTTGTTCTTGTTCTGTTTAGTGAATCTTCTTTTGAGTTTTTATTTTTCCCAGCCCAGACATTTTTCTTTAGATTTAAATCTCCCCCAATATGTTTAGATTTCTGTCCTGCTGGAAAGGAGTTGTTTCACACTATTTCTAGGGATGAGACTATATTTTATCTTTCGGCAATTCATTAAGAGTCAGCAGGAGACATGGATTTTAAAATAATTGTACTGCAAAGTAAATTGAGCAGACTCTGTTTAATGACCTAAGGTAAAGGGATAAAGTGTGATAAATCTTGATACATGAAAAAAATCAACTGAATTCCTGTAGTGTTAACATTAGATAATACTGTTATTACACTAACAAAATGTTAAAGATTATTTCTAACCCAACGCAACATGTATGCAAATATAAAATACTTGGAAATGTATAGACATCTCAGATCTTAGAAATAAAAAACACATGCAATTTTAATTTCATCTGAATCACTTTATAAATTGACTTCTAAATTAAAGTGACTGCCATTTATGGGACATCTAGATATGAGATAATCTAAAATTGTCCTCTACGAAGTAAAAGGGTATATTTAAAAAAAAAATGTACTGATGACCGTATCTTTCATGATCACTAGAGGCAGGCTCAGATGTATCTGTGGTAAGGATGTTTTATATCTATCCATGTATGTAACTTTTTATTTTGTCTTTAGAGAGAAGATGACCTTTGTGGGTGTGCTCCTCTTTTATTTGAGAAGAGTAAATAAGACCTTTATGTAGAAATCATTTTAAAAATTAAATACAGCTTGGTCCTCTGGTGCAGAAATGAACTGAATAAAAGCCAGCGCTTTTATTTTGCAGGTGGAAAACCCAAGACCTGGAGAGTCCTAAGAGAACAGGTCCAGCTGGTGGCCAAGGGGATGGGGAGCCCCCATCGGCTGTGCATTGCCTGGTGCCCTTTACAGTTTGCACGCTGTCCCTCCTGGCCAGGATCGCAAGCTACATCATAGGTTGTGCATGTGTTATGTACATTTTGACTAACAAGAAAATAAATAGCGTGTCTGAAAAAATACATAACGCGGAGAAAGTAGGATGAAGTCATTACAACAATTAATGGCCAAGAGACCGGAGGAAGCAAACATTGTCTGGTCAGGTGAAGGTTTTATAAGAGGCTCACATTTCAATTGCCTTCCTCCAGTAGGAAATAAACATTAATAATAAGGACTGAGAAAATTTCTGTGTATTGTAGAAAAGCTGAGTACATAGATAACCACACATCCCTCACAGTCTTGGAAAATTATGCATTATTTAGAAAAGGGATTAAAAATATCTCCAACTTGCAAGTGTTCAACCTCTCACCCCCGGGGTTGCACAGGGAGGGCGCTGCTGTCCTTTCCACTGCTTCATGGTCTCTGAGGAACAGACCCTTGGCATTAGTCAGCAGTTTCTGAATTTTGACCCACAATAGGAAAGATACCTTGAGACAGGAGAAATAGATGGAGGCAATTACACACAGCTACTTGATTGATGGTTGACATTGTCAGGGCTCCAGTGTACGGCGGATTGTGATGGTGTTGAACTCCCCTTGCCACCAGTGGATGTTGCTATTGGCAACCGTGCAGTGAAGCCAATAAAAAGGCAAGAAAATGAGACGAAAGCTCAACCTTAGTGGAAGCCGTAGGGTTTGTGCTATAAATTATGTTCCCCTTAGCAATATGTAGCATCAACGTTCAGGGCGGCTACAGTACCCGTAGCTGCCTGCAGTCTCTGTCGGACCCTGGGTCTAGTTTTATCATAAAGCACATGCTTTAAAATTTTGCTCTAGATAGACTGGCATCCGTCTGTCGGGGCTACTTATTTATTTATTGTTGGGGAGGATAACAGATGTGGGTTCGTCTCTGCCTCACACGGACTGATTTTCAATTCCCGTCTGTGATATGAACAGGATGCGGCGCAATAGCTAGAAACACCTGCAGTGCTTCTGAGTTTGCAGACGCAGACCAGGGTCTGTCCCCAACTCCACCCCCGCTTTGTTCCTCACCTGAAGGAGGCAAGACGGCGCGGCAGAAGCTATTTTCCTTTATGGCAGAGCGATTCAGAAAACTGGCTTAATAAAATCCATAAATCTGAACAAGCTCCTCTTACCTGCTCTGTGGAGGCAATTTCCCTGCACTCATTTTCTCGCCCAGCTCCTCCAGCCTTCCCTGCAGAGGCACTTGTGAAGGTGAGCTGGGAACCTTATTGTTCAGGCTCCCACTCCCTCCTTCTCTCTTTGGCCAAACCCCCCTCAAGTGTCTCTCTTTTCTAAGCAATTGATGACAGGAATCTGCGTCCTCATTTTGGGGGGTTAGAGGCACCATTTTTCTTTGGATTGTTTACTTGGCCTTTGGCAGTCCTCTTACCAGCTGCCTCAGCGTCTGTTCCTTTTTGGGTGTCTTTTGCTTCTCCTCATCTTCCTCGTTCACCTCCCCCCCCCCCCGCTTGCCTGGTTTATAATTTTCTGTTACTTTATTTCTTGCCATGAAGAATCTTACGTCTTCCCTCCCGATACCCGCTCTTCCCTCACTGTTTTGGTACCTTCCTTTACCCATTCTTTAAACATTTCCGGAATGTCTACTGTGTGCCTCTGGGGGAACAGCGCTCTTTGTGGAACGTGGTCCTTGTTTCTTTAATATTTGAGGAGTCAAGTTAATAACTGATATTGACCAGTAAAAACAAGAACAAAAATGGTGAACTTGGGATTTTCCAGAGCTGGAATGGACTTCAAGGTTCATCTAGTCCAGGAACCTTTCAACTCCTCAGAGCTCCTTTATGGACCGCCACGTATGTAATCAAAGAGAGGAGAATTTACAGGGTTCTGGATCCCCCAACCTGGCTTCAAGCAGAAAATTTCAGTTTTTAGACGTTTTATATCTTGGACAGTCCTTGTAAGGCTTATTTGCACAAAGAGTTCTAAGGTTAAAATATGTTTGAAAATCTTTTCCTAATGTAATCTCATTCAACAGATGTGGAAACAGGCTGGGAGAAGTTAGGTGACTTGTCTACAGTCACCTGATCAGTCGTGCCAAAGCCAGGGCAGGAAGTCTAGCTTCTAGTCCAGTGTTCTTTGGACAAATCAAACCACATCCTCAACCTCTCAGGTAAAATGGGGAGCAAAGTAGTTTTGTAGTCATTGCATCAATTTCATATCGTCTATTCTAATTATAAACCTAGTTTCCTAGAAAATATTTGTCCCCTGGGCAGACTGTTATTTCTTCACTTTTCAAGCATTATTTCTTACACTTAAGGAAAAATCAAAAACTGAGGACCACTGCATTTGGCTTTAGGTTGGTTTTGGTCGGAACCTTAAATGGTTTACAAAAACTTACCCCTAAGAGAACTCAAGGTAGTCCGTGGTCGTTCTCCATGGTTCTGCTGTGTCTGGGAAATGCCCCTGCTGTTGGGAAGAGTTCCTAAGTATTCATGTGTCACCTGTGGTAAGTCCAGCTATGGATGTCCTTTCATTCCTCCTTTAATTAAAGTCTCTTAACCCATTCCTCCTGGGAGAAAACTTGGTCTACAACGAAGGTTGAATTTTAAAAAACTGAAAAAGGGAACCGCAGTCCCCATGGAGTGTTATGAATGTTGTATAAACACCAGTCACACAAACACATCTGCTGTCTCCCTACTAGGGGCCTTTTAGGGGAAAACTAGACATGATTGGTATCTGTACGGATACTATAGTTTATATCTTAGGGAGGCGATTCTAAAGGCTCTGATCCATCATTAAGAAGCTTTGGGATAAAAATAAGATACCTCTACAGAATACAAAGTGGGATTCTTGGGACAATGTGGCACAAAAGAGCGCTGAGGAGAGGATGCAAAGGCCGGCGTTGCGTGGCCTGTAACAACTCAAGGGCGGCATAGGAAGTGAAGCGGCGCTAAGGGCGTCCTCACCGCTCCGGGCTCCCTGGGCGGGGAAGGAGCAGGGCCGGCTGTCCTCAGGCGCTGGCTCGTCTGCCCAGCGGCCCGGCTCAGCCTCAGGCCCTGGGTGCTCGGCGGCCGGCCGGCGGGGAAAGTCCAGGGCCCGGGCCGCGCTCCCTCCCCGCCTGCGGCTGCGTCCCTCGGGGCCGCGCTCTCCTCTGCTGACCCCCCTTCAAGGCCAAAGCCCAGGCGTGCTTCCCCGCGCAAACTGAGACTTCATCTGCCTGAGCGAAAAGGGGCAAAGGGATGCCGCGGACTGGACCGAGGTCGGCCCTTCAGGGCACGGTCATTCTGCGGCGGCCGCGAAGCCGGACGGTTAGTTTCTGTCTTCCCCGGCGGCCGGCAAGAGGCTGGCGGAGGAGGGGGAAGCAGCCGACGCCAGCAGCCTTTTCTGGTGCAGCTCTTCCCACTTATTTCTGTTCGCCGCCACGGAATCCAGCATCGGCTTCAGTTTCACATTGACCTTCACCAACGCCTGAAGTAAAACAAAAAAACAGGTGGAGGAGAGGAACCCGAGTCACTGACACGATTTTCCAGCTTTCACTGGTGAGGACAATGGAAACTGGCTGCAAGAAATGAAAAGTGATAATTATTTTGGTAAACACGAGCTATTTACAAGAAGCAAATCTGCATGTAACGCCATTGTGTTACATTAATAGAGCCATAGGGAAAAGGGAAAAATAAGACGGGGGTGGGGTGGGGGGTGGGGCTATGTACTACTCCCAGGGTGCCAGCCAGTTAGATTATGATCCTGTTTTTAATCCACAGCGGACAAGACAGGACACAAAATATCCAGCTCACACATGACTACTAATACGTATATTGTCGCCTGCCATGGAGACCTCCAGATCTCAGTAGACCATGAACTTCGGTTTTGACCAAGACACACCTTCCATTTGCTCCACCACAGATGGTGCTGGGTGGACTCACCGGATAAGAAAGGCCAGGTGACATCCTGAAAGAAGAGAAGGTGCTCATTTTTCCCACGAAGGATCTGGGAGCTGTGCTACACGTACAGATGTGGATGTGAACACGAACAGAGATGGACGCGAGCGAAGGGAGACAGGAGTGGGGAAGAGAGGGCCGGGGTGCGGCGGAGAGCAGGACGGAAGAGGCCATGCAGGCTGAGGCTGGAGGCCAACCCAGGACTCAGGGTCCTACTTGCAGGAGACTCTCCTAAATATTTTCTCCTTTACTTAATTTTGAAATTTATTTATTTATTTATTTACTTACATACTTATTTATTTATTTGACAGAGAGAGACACAACGAGACAGGGAACACAAGCAGGGGGAGTGGGAGAGGGAGAAGCAGGCTTCCCGCCAAGCAGGGAGTCCGATGCCGGCTCGATCTCAGGACCCTGAAATCATGACCTGAGCCAAAGGCAGATGCTTAAGGACTGAGCCACCCAGGCGCCCCACTTAATTTTGTTACTAAAAAAAAAAAAAAAAAAAAAAAAAGAGTCCCCTACTCCTTAATGGTATAAACTTCCAGCTTTACAAAACTTGGATGGCCTCTATCATGGAACAGAGCAATGAATAAAACAAGGATGGTGGAGGTGTGGGGGTGTTAGTTCATGGAAAGTCAGTGTTCCTGCCCAATGCCTGGGGTCTGCGTGCTGTGGCCACAGATGATCCCCCCACCCCCTGCTCCATGTAGACACCTTGCAGGTGTGTCCCCTTCATCCCAAGGGGAACAAAGCCACTGCAATGTTAGCATACCTCTGGAACAGCCTTCTTTCCAAGCAGGACATGTGGTTAGGGGGAGGTTCATAGCAAAGCCTCCCAAAGGAGGAAAGAATAGCCCTTCATGTAGAGAGTGTCCTTCCCTAACATGACGGCAAATCACCAGTTAGACCTGATCTATCCCCTCAAATAGCCCTCACTGCAGGATATGAGTTAAATGCAACTGGGTGTTAGTTAAGTGGTTGTCGAAAAGCCCAGAAGTAACCAGGGATCCTACTGAGCCGTGAGCCCTCCAACCTGGCTGAAGTGGGGTCCCTTCACACAGACGTCTTTTAAACAGAGCATATTCTCTCTCTTAAAAGCGGTCTTTATTACACCAACCAACATTCAATTCTAAATCAGATTTATTAGCCATTCCATACGAAAATAAAACATAGCAACATAATAACTCAGGTAGTGATCAAAATCCCCTTTATTTTCATGAGAAAAATGCAGGTTACTGCTTTCTGCTCAATGCACAGTGTTTTTATTTGGACAATAGTGTGGGGTAGCAATGAATGCCATGGTTTTATTTAGTACAGTTTGGCACTGGTCCTCTTCACTCTGATCAAGCCTTTTAATTAAACTGACTACTATAATTCCTATGGAAATTAGTGTTTATGTTATTTTCTTGCTACAAAAGCATTTCTCTAGAACTTATTTTTTTTTTAATCTCAGGAGCACAAATTGGAATTTTTTTCTGCCTGAAATGTAATTAAAAACTCATTTGATTACTATATTTCTGGCTCTGTTTTATTTATTAAATTCCTGTAATCAGTTTTCTTTTATGAAGCTGCTGGGAAATGATCTCAAAAGCAACACATTTTTCTCTTCCTTGGCAGGTTCCCGAGCATTTACTAAATTACATTCCTAGCACCTGCCCATGATTCGAATTACTCCACCAATTTATTCCTTAAACCATTTAAGTTTATTTGGCTTAGTCCCAAACAGAGATTTCCTTCCCTTATCTAGCTCTTTGTTGTCTCTCTTGCTACCTTTGTGGTGAATACAAAAAACCAAACCAAACCAAACAAAAAAACACCAAAAAACAACTTTTCCGGGGTGGGGGGAGCAGTACATATTTCTCAGAATTCCTTCTCTTTGTTTCATAGTCTCTTTAATTAAACACAGAATTGCCATATTAGAATATCGTTTTCCCCTGGCAGGTGCAGGTTTAGGCAAAGGTAGCAAAAAATCCCATCCTGTGCCATCAGTAAAAGAATTGCTCCTACTATTTAGAAAATATGGATATTCCTAAAAACTTCTCATCAGTGAGTGACACCTGATGAGTTCTGTGCAAATGCTACTTGTTTGCAAGTGTTGTCTGACTTGTTCTTCACATTGCAAAAGAGAGAGGGGACAAATATCACCTGTCTAGTCACTCTCCATATGTATGCAAAGGGACTCTAAAGGTTATGTATGTGGTGCCATCAGCCATGGGATGCTGAATCTCCTCTGTGGCATCCCTGCAGTGGGACCCTCAGTATTTACACGTGTCCAGAGGCAGTGAACTCACTACCTCCCAGGTGGTTCTGATTTTAGAATGTTCTGTATATTGAACAGAAATCTATATCCGTGTAACTTCTACCTACTGGTCCTTTTAGCTGGAATCTACTTGAGCACTGTAGGACGGATGACTCATGTGCTGCTTCAAGTGTAGGTCAGGGTTGAGACTGACCTAATACCCCAACTTAGGATGTGCTGCTTACTATCCCTTGGGGCAACTGTCCGGCTCTCTCAGGGGCCCCCAAGCTTGCGCCAGCTCCACCTGGCCCACCACAGACAGCACCTTGGATCCTTGCCCGCTCCAGGACACAGCCCTGGGCATCTAGTCATCCAAGTGGCTGTGGGACCCCACTTCCTCCTGATTCCATTCACTCTGTTGTTGAGTCCCCTTGGGACCAGCAGCTACAGTTTATTCCACATTTTATTTATGTTTTGAATAAGTAATACATTCCCACAGTCCAATGGATATAAAGGGTAAAAAGGTACAATGCACAATCTCCCTTCACCCCTGCCTCAGACACTTTCTTTCGCTAGAGGCAGCCAAAGTTATCAATTTCTTGGGTATCCTTCAAGAAACCTTTTATGCATATGTAAGCACATATAAAAATACATATACACATATATACATATGTATATAATGTCTGTATGTATGCATATAATATATGTGTGTGTGTATAATTAAGTTGATTCTCCTACCATTTTGGATGTTTCTTTCAGAAATGGAGTGAAATCAAACCTTTGTGGAACAACATTATTATGATGCTTGAGTGAGCCCAGATGTACTGTGTAGAAATTAGCACTTGGAGGATATAGAGAGGAGAGGGACCACATTCTAATTTTCTATTGCTCTGACACCGAGAGTTTCTTCTGCGGAGCTTAATCTGCTGTGAATCCCATCTACTGTCATTTTCCTCTGAAGAATCGTAGGTTTCATTTCTAGGAGTTTGATTTGGGTGTTTTTTAAATATCTTCCATGACTCTGTTTATCATGCTTGATCTTTTCTCTACCCTTATGAACATACAAAACATAATAAATGTCTTAATGCCCTTCTCTATCAATTCTATGATCTGTATCATTTCTGAGTCTGTATTGATTGATTTTTTTCTCGTTATTATGGGCCAAGTTTTCTTGCTTCTTGGCATGCCTGGTAATTCTTGACTGGGTATCAGCCATTGTGAATTTTATGCTGTTGTGTGCTGGATTTTTATTTAATCCATTTGTTTTTGCATTTCTTTAAACATTTTTCAATTTTGTTCTGGAATGCGGTTAGGTGACTTGGAAATAATGTGGTCCTTTTGAGGCTTGCTTTTAAGCCTTGCTAGGTTGGTCCAGAGCAGCCTTTAGTCTAGGGTTAACGCGGGTCCGCTACCCAGACAATAATCTTCGGAGAACTGCAGCCGGTACCTCATACATTTCAAGGGTTTTCTCTCAGGCTCTGGCTGGTGGGAGCGTGGACTGTTCCCCAGCCTGTGCGAGCTCTGAGCATTGTTCTACTTGCTCCTTTTTGCTGTTTTTTTCCTCAGCCTTAGCAGCTTCCCCACACGCATGTGGTGAACAGCGCTGAAGATCGCGCTGCAGGTCTGTGGAGCCCTCTCTCTCTCTCTCTCTCTTTCTCTCTCTCTCTGTCTCGTCTCGTAGCTGTCTCCTCCCTGGTCCTCTTGCCTGGGAACTCCAACCTCCTTGGCCTCCCCAGACGCCGGGCTCTGCCTCGTCAGCTCAGTGAGACCGGGTTTCCCTCCCTGTGCGGCGGCCGGAAGCAGCTCCCGCGCTGAGCGGTGAGCGGTGAGCGGTGAGCGGTGAGCGGAGATCGGGGAGCGCTGAGCGCTGAGCGGAGAGCGGAGAGCGGAGAGCGCTGAGCGCTGAGCGGAGAGCGGAGAGCGCTGAGCGGAGAGCGGAGAGCGCTGAGCGGAGAGCGGAGAGCGCTGAGCGCTGAGCGCTGAGCGGAGAGCGGAGAGCGCTGAGCGCTGAGCGCTGAGCGGAGAGCGGAGAGCGCTGAGCGAGGACAACTGCTGGGATCACTTCGTTTGCTCCCCTCTCTCAGGAACCACTATATTGGGCTACATGCTGCCCGAGTCCTCTGTCAACTCTCGTTTCACGCTCTTTCCCGGTCACTCTCTCCCGGCCAGCACTGGAAGTCCCTTATCAGCGGTTTTAAACGGCTCCGGGTGGGGGACTACCCCGGGAGCCCCCATGGGAGTGGAAACAGGGCCTCTGGGCTTTGCGTCTGTAGCTCCTCCGGCAGCGG